AAGTGGCGCCGTCTTGCTGAAACCAAATGGCGCCGAGATTACGAGCTTCAATTTCAGGAATCAAATAGTCGGTTATCATGGCACGATAACGGTCGCCATTGACGGTTACGTTCGCACCGGCATCATTTTTAAAGAAATATGGACCGATGATTCCACCGGCCCACAAACCACACCAAACCGTTGTTTTTTCTGGATGAAGTGGCAGTTCTTGAATCTCTTCAGGTTGCTCTTTGTCCCAAATGCGGCAATTTTGTTTGTTTACATACCCATTGAGCCAGAAATGGGCCTCATCACTAAACAAAATTTGCCTCGAAAACGTCGGATCTTCTTGGAACTTTTCAAGAGCCCATAGAGCGAAGCGATGTCGCTTGGGAAGGTCGAGCGGCTTCAGTTGTTGCACAAGTTGTATTTTGTACGTTTTCAATTTAAGATCTCGATGTAAAATGCGCCAAGTCGTACCATACGTCAGTCCGAGTTGCTGCGAACGGCGCCGAATCGACTCTCGACGGTCTTCATGTACACTCTCAGCTACGGCCGCTATATTTTCTTCACAGCGTGCTGGACGTGGTCTATTCGGTCGAATATTATCCAATAATGAATGCTGGGTCTCAAAATTGGTGATGGTGTTGCGAATAGTACGCTCAGTTGGCCGATTATGTTGACCATATGTTGAGCGAAGTGCACGAAACACATTCCTCACAGAACGTGAATTTTCGTAATAAAGTTGAACGATTTGTAAACGTTGTTCAGGCGTAAGTCTTTCCATTATGAAATGTCAAACCATACTAAACAAAAATAACATGACAGCATGACACGACACACACGTGATCTGTCAAAAAAAGGCTATTGAAAAAAGTATCTATACTTGAATCACCCTTTACAAATGGGCGTGCCTCAAGGCTCAATTCTCGGCCCCTTTCTGTTTCTTGTATACATTAATGACTTACCTTACATAGTAGGGGATAACCATGATATAGTATTATTTGCAGATGACACTTCTTTAATTTTCAAATTAAGTCGACAGTTACTAAAATATGACGAAGTAAATAATGCTATATCTAAATTAGTAAATTGGTTCGATGCTAGTAATTTGCATTTAAATGGCACTAAAACAAAATGTATGAAATTCGTGACTCCAAATGTCAAACAATTAAATTCTAATGTAATTTTAAAAGGGGAGAAACTGAGTCTTGTAGATACCACCATTTTTCTTGGAATCACACTAGACGCGAAGCTTCAATGGAGCCCCCATATCAAAACTATCATATATCAAAACTAGCAAGCAGACTTAGTTCTGCAGCATATGCTGTAAAAAAAATTAGAAGTCTAACCAGTGTTGAAACAGCTAGACTAGTTTACTTCAGCTACTTCCATAGCATAATGTCGTATGGTATTCTGCTATGGGGACACGCAGCTGACACTGAAATTGTATTTGTTTTGCAGAAGAGGGCCATAAGAGCAATTTATGATTTAAGGCCTAAAGAGTCGCTGCGTCAAAAATTTAAGGAAATTAATATATTAACTTTGGCCTCTCAATACATTTATGAAAATGTAATGTACGTACACAAAAATATAAGTAGTTTTATAAAAATAAGTGATATTCATTCTGTAAATACTAGGAACAGACACAAGCTAGTAGTACCAGTTACTCGACTCCATCGAGTCAGTAATTCATTCTTGGGGCGATGTATACGCTTTTACAACAAAATTCCAGAAAATATACAAAGTTTGGCCTGTTCAAAGTTCAAAAACTTTATTAAACTAAGTTTGTATAAAAAGGGTTATTATAATATTAAGGAATTTATGGATGATAATAACCCCTAGAAATGAGGTGATCGCTACCAAGCTATTTCTAATTTGTTGTGTTGTTAATTTGTGTAACATCATGATTGTAAGCTGTTATTTAAAAAAAAGTCCCGCTGGGTTTCTTGCTGGTTCTTCCCAGGACAGAGGTTTTTTCCGAACCAGTGGTAATCAAACAAAAGAGTGACTTTCAATAAGTATTATTTATAATCTATATTGAATAAAAAAGTTTCTGTTTCTGTTTCTCGCGGCTAGTAAGAAATGGTGTGGAAACAAGCCTTTTTTTCCCGTGTGCAAGTTTAACAGAGTGGACGTGTCGCAAGTTGCATTCCTAAATTGTAAACGCGGCCGCACGCAATAGTGCCCCGTAAAGAACTACCAAAATCCTATTACGGATTGTCTATAACCTTGTGCAACTGTGAGAACACAAACATTATCACTTGCTTATTAGTCACTCCGCGCGAAGAAGACGGCATTAGCGAAAATAACTGCCCTCCCGTATCCGCACCGCATCTCGAGGCAGCCACAGCGGGGAGCCGCACTTCACCCCCGGTACGGTGAGAGATACTTGCAATTTTTCGTCCTTATCAAATCAACGGACCGCACTTCGCTCGCTGCTGCCTGCGCAGTCTAGCTGTATCTAACTATTACCCATTAACCAAGATGATTACTTGCGTTGCCTGTTTGAATGAAATACATAATAACAGCGGACGCATTGACTGCGCACGTTGTAAACAATATTATCACAACCTATGCATTAACATCTCTGATAAAAACCTTAAAAAGATGTCGGACACTCAAAAAGCTAGTTGGCAATGCCCCAATTGTCCGAGTAAGCAGCCTAGAGGCGACAACACAAATACGCCCGTCAAGCAGACGGCATCGTCATCGTCATCCGGAACCGCCTCCAGTAACGTTACGACACGTAAAGCAACGAAAGCAGCAGGGGAATCGTCCATCCCACAAGTACTAAGTAGCGGCGCACTTACATCGAGCGCAGAGATACGTGACATCATAAACGAGGCACTGAGGGAATGGGCCACCGGAATTTGTACTCAACTAAATGAAATAAGAAGTGAGGTTGTCAGTCTCAAAGATTCAATGTCATTTTTTAATGAACAATTCGAGCAATTAAATGCCGAGGTTAAAGCCCAAAAAGCAGAGGTTCGACGTCTTAGTGACGAAAACAGTTCACTGCGAAGGGACGTTATTAATCTAACCACTCACTGTAATCAGATGGACCAGATGTCTCGCGCCGTCAATTTAGAGCTCCAGTGCGTTCCTGAGCACAAGAATGAAAATGTGACCAGAATAGTTCAACAGCTAGGTAAAATCGTCAGTTGTCCCATCAATGAAGCCGATATTTCCCACTGCACTAGAGTGGCCAAAAAGAACCCGAAGAGTCCCAGATCACGCACCATTCTGGTCAGATTCACGAGCCTACGACTTAGAGATTCGGTCCTGGCAGCATCGATCAAGTATAATAAATGCAACCCAAACGATAAATTAAATTCGAGCCACCTAGGACTAGGTGACGAATCGAAACCGGCAATTTACGTTGCTGAAAACTTGTCACCGGGAAATAAGGTCTTGCATGCGGCGACCCGAGATCGCGCCAGGGAACTCGGCTATCAGTTTGTGTGGGTGCGCATTGGACGTATTTTCGTACGGAAAGATGTCAGCTCGCCGTCAAAAGTTATAAGAGACATTAGTTGTTTGAACTCTCTCTAGATTGTTGTTTGTTCGGTGATTGCACGTTTTTTATTATCAAATTAACACTAAAATTCAATTTAAAATTATATTACCAAAATGTAAGGGGCCTTAGAACCAAATTTGAAAATTTATATATTAACGCACTACAAAAATCTTACGACCTAATTGTTTTGACAGAGTCATGGCTCAATGACACCGTTTTTGACCACGAGCTCTTGGATGCTAGATATGATATTTTTAGACGCGATCGGAGTTCTACTTTGTCCTTCCAAACGAAAAAAGAAGGTGGCGGTATTTGTTTAGCTGTACTGAAAAAATATAGGGCGTTGAGAATGAATAGATGGGAGTCAGCGTGTGAGGAATTGTGGGTCTCTATAGACTTAGGTCTTAATAATAAATATAGAATAAATATGTGCGCTGCGTATATTCCCCCACCAGTTTCAAGGGATTACTTAACAACTTTTCTCAACAATCTCACGGATGTCGTCAACAATAAAATATCAAACGGCTCATTTACCCTGTTGGTAGGTGATTTCAACCTTCCTTATATAGTCTGGGAGAGTATAGGCGATCAAAATGTATACATCCCAGAGCCAAATAATGGGACTATCGAAAACATGTTTATAGACGAAATTACGTTCAATAATCTTAAACAATGTAATTATATCTTAAACGATAATAATCGAATTTTGGACTTGGTTCTTGTGGATAATGCTAATATCGTAAAAGTGGCCGAAGCTTCGCTGCCTCTGGTTGGATTGGATCCTCATCATCCTGCCCTCGAAATACTCATTCACAGTCTAGGCAACATAAAACCATGCAGGTCCAAACGTGTAGCATTACCTAATTATTCCAAGTGTAACTTTGACGCCATCAACGAAGAACTCACGCATATAGTGTGGTCTGAAGTGTGGTCTGACCTTTATGACATAGATTCCATGGTTGACAAGTTTTACGGCACAGTTTTACCCATAATTAAGAAGCACACGCCACATTGAATACCACATTCAGAAAAATATCCGGTGTGGTTCAGCACAGCCTTAATAAAATGCTTAAAAGAAAAAGCGAAGTATCATAAGAAATACAAACAGTATGGAAATCCCCTGGATAGATTAACATATGAACTTCTTAGAGACAACTGATGCCGGTGTTGAGCTGATTAAATATATCTTTAATGCATGGGAGAATTCACAGGATGCTTTGGGTATATTTTGTGACCTATACAAGGCCTTCGATTGTGTTCACCATGAAACATTAATCAGGAAACTTCAACACTACGGTGTAAGAAGTGATGCCCTTAAATTAATTATTTCATATTTAAATAAGAGAACGCAAAAAGTTGTCATTAACAATATGAGCTCTTCCGGATCGATGGTATGGCGTGATCCATTTCGAGGTTCCCTACTTTTTTAAAGAAAAAAACACAGAAAATTCAAATTTAATGTAGAATGTTTATTATCATTTGAAAGAACATTCTTTGGCATTTATTTTTTGAAGATTATGTCTATCAAATGTTGGCCCTTGCTACGTCGCAGATGGTCCATCCGTTGAGTCCAATTTTCGATGACTCGTTCGAGCATTTCGACTGGTAACTGGCGAATGACACGGGTGATGTTTTCCTCCAAGGCCTGAATCGAAGCGGGTTTGTCCGCATAAACTTTAGACTTTACATATCCCCACAGGAAAAAGTCTAACGGTGTGATATCACACGATATTTGTGGCCAATCGACCGGCCCAAAACGTGAAATTAGGTGCTCACCGAAATGTTCTCTCAATAAATCCATTGATTGATGCGATGTGTGGGAAGTGGCGCCGTCTTGCTGAAACCAAATGGCGCCGAGATTACGAGCTTCAATTTCAGGAATCAAATAGTCGGTTATCATGGCACGATAACGGTCGCCATTGACGGTTACGTTCGCACCGGCATCATTTTTAAAGAAATATGGACCGATGATTCCACCGGCCCACAAACCACACCAAACCGTTGTTTTTTCTGGATGAAGTGGCAGTTCTTGAATCTCTTCAGGTTGCTCTTTGTCCCAAATGCGGCAATTTTGTTTGTTTACATACCCATTGAGCCAGAAATGGGCCTCATCACTAAACAAAATTTGCCTCGAAAACGTCGGATCTTCTTGGAACTTTTCAAGAGCCCATAGAGCGAAGCGATGTCGCTTGGGAAGGTCGAGCGGCTTCAGTTGTTGCACAAGTTGTATTTTGTACGTTTTCAATTTAAGATCTCGATGTAAAATGCGCCAAGTCGTACCATACGTCAGTCCGAGTTGCTGCGAACGGCGCCGAATCGACTCTCGACGGTCTTCATGTACACTCTCAGCTACGGCCGCTATATTTTCTTCACAGCGTGCTGGACGTGGTCTATTCGGTCGAATATTATCCAATAATGAATGCTGGGTCTCAAAATTGGTGATGGTGTTGCGAATAGTACGCTCAGTTGGCCGATTATGTTGACCATATGTTGAGCGAAGTGCACGAAACACATTCCTCACAGAACGTGAATTTTCGTAATAAAGTTGAACGATTTGTAAACGTTGTTCAGGCGTAAGTCTTTCCATTATGAAATGTCAAACCATACTAAACAAAAATAACATGACAGCATGACACGACACACACGTGATCTGTCAAAAAAAGGCTATTGAAAAAAGTATCTATACTTGAATCACCCTTTACAAATGGGCGTGCCTCAAGGCTCAATTCTCGGCCCCTTTCTGTTTCTTGTATACATTAATGACTTACCTTACATAGTAGGGGATAACCATGATATAGTATTATTTGCAGATGACACTTCTTTAATTTTCAAATTAAGTCGACAGTTACTAAAATATGACGAAGTAAATAATGCTATATCTAAATTAGTAAATTGGTTCGATGCTAGTAATTTGCATTTAAATGGCACTAAAACAAAATGTATGAAATTCGTGACTCCAAATGTCAAACAATTAAATTCTAATGTAATTTTAAAAGGGGAGAAACTGAGTCTTGTAGATACCACCATTTTTCTTGGAATCACACTAGACGCGAAGCTTCAATGGAGCCCCCATATCAAAACTATCATATATCAAAACTAGCAAGCAGACTTAGTTCTGCAGCATATGCTGTAAAAAAAATTAGAAGTCTAACCAGTGTTGAAACAGCTAGACTAGTTTACTTCAGCTACTTCCATAGCATAATGTCGTATGGTATTCTGCTATGGGGACACGCAGCTGACACTGAAATTGTATTTGTTTTGCAGAAGAGGGCCATAAGAGCAATTTATGATTTAAGGCCTAAAGAGTCGCTGCGTCAAAAATTTAAGGAAATTAATATATTAACTTTGGCCTCTCAATACATTTATGAAAATGTAATGTACGTACACAAAAATATAAGTAGTTTTATAAAAATAAGTGATATTCATTCTGTAAATACTAGGAACAGACACAAGCTAGTAGTACCAGTTACTCGACTCCATCGAGTCAGTAATTCATTCTTGGGGCGATGTATACGCTTTTACAACAAAATTCCAGAAAATATACAAAGTTTGGCCTGTTCAAAGTTCAAAAACTTTATTAAACTAAGTTTGTATAAAAAGGGTTATTATAATATTAAGGAATTTATGGATGATAATAACCCCTAGAAATGAGGTGATCGCTACCAAGCTATTTCTAATTTGTTGTGTTGTTAATTTGTGTAACATCATGATTGTAAGCTGTTATTTAAAAAAAAGTCCCGCTGGGTTTCTTGCTGGTTCTTCCCAGGACAGAGGTTTTTTCCGAACCAGTGGTAATCAAACAAAAGAGTGACTTTCAATAAGTATTATTTATAATCTATATTGAATAAAAAAGTTTCTGTTTCTGTTTCTCGCGGCTAGTAAGAAATGGTGTGGAAACAAGCCTTTTTTTCCCGTGTGCAAGTTTAACAGAGTGGACGTGTCGCAAGTTGCATTCCTAAATTGTAAACGCGGCCGCACGCAATAGTGCCCCGTAAAGAACTACCAAAATCCTATTACGGATTGTCTATAACCTTGTGCAACTGTGAGAACACAAACATTATCACTTGCTTATTAGTCACTCCGCGCGAAGAAGACGGCATTAGCGAAAATAACTGCCCTCCCGTATCCGCACCGCATCTCGAGGCAGCCACAGCGGGGAGCCGCACTTCACCCCCGGTACGGTGAGAGATACTTGCAATTTTTCGTCCTTATCAAATCAACGGACCGCACTTCGCTCGCTGCTGCCTGCGCAGTCTAGCTGTATCTAACTATTACCCATTAACCAAGATGATTACTTGCGTTGCCTGTTTGAATGAAATACATAATAACAGCGGACGCATTGACTGCGCACGTTGTAAACAATATTATCACAACCTATGCATTAACATCTCTGATAAAAACCTTAAAAAGATGTCGGACACTCAAAAAGCTAGTTGGCAATGCCCCAATTGTCCGAGTAAGCAGCCTAGAGGCGACAACACAAATACGCCCGTCAAGCAGACGGCATCGTCATCGTCATCCGGAACCGCCTCCAGTAACGTTACGACACGTAAAGCAACGAAAGCAGCAGGGGAATCGTCCATCCCACAAGTACTAAGTAGCGGCGCACTTACATCGAGCGCAGAGATACGTGACATCATAAACGAGGCACTGAGGGAATGGGCCACCGGAATTTGTACTCAACTAAATGAAATAAGAAGTGAGGTTGTCAGTCTCAAAGATTCAATGTCATTTTTTAATGAACAATTCGAGCAATTAAATGCCGAGGTTAAAGCCCAAAAAGCAGAGGTTCGACGTCTTAGTGACGAAAACAGTTCACTGCGAAGGGACGTTATTAATCTAACCACTCACTGTAATCAGATGGACCAGATGTCTCGCGCCGTCAATTTAGAGCTCCAGTGCGTTCCTGAGCACAAGAATGAAAATGTGACCAGAATAGTTCAACAGCTAGGTAAAATCGTCAGTTGTCCCATCAATGAAGCCGATATTTCCCACTGCACTAGAGTGGCCAAAAAGAACCCGAAGAGTCCCAGATCACGCACCATTCTGGTCAGATTCACGAGCCTACGACTTAGAGATTCGGTCCTGGCAGCATCGATCAAGTATAATAAATGCAACCCAAACGATAAATTAAATTCGAGCCACCTAGGACTAGGTGACGAATCGAAACCGGCAATTTACGTTGCTGAAAACTTGTCACCGGGAAATAAGGTCTTGCATGCGGCGACCCGAGATCGCGCCAGGGAACTCGGCTATCAGTTTGTGTGGGTGCGCATTGGACGTATTTTCGTACGGAAAGATGTCAGCTCGCCGTCAAAAGTTATAAGAGACATTAGTTGTTTGAACTCTCTCTAGATTGTTGTTTGTTCGGTGATTGCACGTTTTTTATTATCAAATTAACACTAAAATTCAATTTAAAATTATATTACCAAAATGTAAGGGGCCTTAGAACCAAATTTGAAAATTTATATATTAACGCACTACAAAAATCTTACGACCTAATTGTTTTGACAGAGTCATGGCTCAATGACACCGTTTTTGACCACGAGCTCTTGGATGCTAGATATGATATTTTTAGACGCGATCGGAGTTCTACTTTGTCCTTCCAAACGAAAAAAGAAGGTGGCGGTATTTGTTTAGCTGTACTGAAAAAATATAGGGCGTTGAGAATGAATAGATGGGAGTCAGCGTGTGAGGAATTGTGGGTCTCTATAGACTTAGGTCTTAATAATAAATATAGAATAAATATGTGCGCTGCGTATATTCCCCCACCAGTTTCAAGGGATTACTTAACAACTTTTCTCAACAATCTCACGGATGTCGTCAACAATAAAATATCAAACGGCTCATTTACCCTGTTGGTAGGTGATTTCAACCTTCCTTATATAGTCTGGGAGAGTATAGGCGATCAAAATGTATACATCCCAGAGCCAAATAATGGGACTATCGAAAACATGTTTATAGACGAAATTACGTTCAATAATCTTAAACAATGTAATTATATCTTAAACGATAATAATCGAATTTTGGACTTGGTTCTTGTGGATAATGCTAATATCGTAAAAGTGGCCGAAGCTTCGCTGCCTCTGGTTGGATTGGATCCTCATCATCCTGCCCTCGAAATACTCATTCACAGTCTAGGCAACATAAAACCATGCAGGTCCAAACGTGTAGCATTACCTAATTATTCCAAGTGTAACTTTGACGCCATCAACGAAGAACTCACGCATATAGTGTGGTCTGAAGTGTGGTCTGACCTTTATGACATAGATTCCATGGTTGACAAGTTTTACGGCACAGTTTTACCCATAATTAAGAAGCACACGCCACATTGAATACCACATTCAGAAAAATATCCGGTGTGGTTCAGCACAGCCTTAATAAAATGCTTAAAAGAAAAAGCGAAGTATCATAAGAAATACAAACAGTATGGAAATCCCCTGGATAGATTAACATATGAACTTCTTAGAGACCGTTGCAATACAATGATCAAAAGTTGTTTCTCTAGCTTTAAAAAAAACGCAGCTTCTCATTTACGCTCAAACCCTAAGTTCATCTGGTCTTATGTTAATGGTCTCAAAAGAAACACAAATTCCCTTCCTTCTCAGATGACTCGAGGTGTCAAGACTGCCAGAGGTGGCCAAGAGATTTGTGACCTATTCTCAGAGCAATTTCAGTGAATATACGATGACATCGCTACCAATTTTACATCCAAATCATCCAATGTCAATAAAACAGCTCTCCATATTTGCGAGAACAGTCTGACCATCAACTCACTCACTGTCAGCGAATACGAGGTAGAAAGAGCATTGATGGGATTGGATGGGAGCAAGGGTTCAGGATTGGATGGCTTGCCCCCTATCGTTCTAAAGAAATGTGCAAAAACTATGTCAAAACCTCTTACGTATATATTTAACCACTCTCTTCGAAGCGCCATTTTCCCCCTAGTATGGAAAAAGGCGCGCATCATCCCTATCCATAAAAAGGGAGATCTTGCCGATGCATCTAATTACAGGCCGGTTTCCATACTTCCAGCACCCGGGAAGGTTCTAGAGTAATTTGTTCATAAAAAAATATATTGGCACGTTAAAGAGCGCCTGCACCCAGGCCAACATGGGTTTCAGCCTAAAAAGTCAATAACATCTAACTTAGTCGGTTTTGTTAATGATATTGCATGTGCACTGGATATGAATAAAGAGGTACACAGTATTTACACCGATTTTAGCAAGGCCTTCGATCTCATTAACCACGACCTGCTTATAAAGAAGAACATGCTAATGGGGGTCCATGGTTCACTGCTGCGCTGGTGCGATTCCTATCTTAGGAATCGGTCACAGTTAGTCTCATTACGTGGTTATTCATCCTCAGCTAGAGAGATCCCTTCAGGCGTACCCCAGGGCTCTCATGTCGGTCCATTGTTCTTTTTAATTTTCATAAACGACCTAGCCAATATAATAGAATGTAATTTTAAAATGTACGCAGACGACCTAAAACTGTACAAAATCATTGACTCTAAACTAGATCACTCTACAGTACGAGTCGGATAGATTATACGACTGGTGTTGTCAAAAGCATATGATCCTCAACACTGGTAAATGTTCTCACCTAAAGTTTACTAGAAGGAAAAATAAAACCGAGGCAACATACAAGCTAAACAATGAGCCATTGGGTGAGATCACGGAAATCTGGGACTTAGGCGTTTTGATTGATAGCACGCTCAGCTTTAGAAGCCATATTGACGCAATAACAAAAAAAGCTTCTAAGTTATCCGGGTTTATATCCAGGCAAATAAAATCTTTCAAAGACCCTGATTTAATCATTCCGGTCTATAACTGTTTGGTGAGAAGTATTGTGGAATACGCTAGCTCAGTCTGGAATCCAGGGTACAAGTGTCACTCAAACCGACTGGAAAAGATTCAGAAAAGGTTTATGTACCAGTTATCGCACGCAAATAACCAATGTAGGACACTCATTTCATATGAGAGTAGATTGGCATACTACAAATTAGAATTGCTATCCAAGCGGTGGGAATCATCTGATGTCATGTTCCTCTATAAAATTATCCATGGTCTCATCAACTATCCGGACATTTTAAATCATTTAAATGTGTCGGTCCCTAGAGCCGGCAGTCGCTTGGGCCGCAAAAAGACTTGTTACGCCACACTGTAAAACAGTGGCGGGTCATCACTCGCCATTGTACAGAATGACTAATAGTTATAATAATATTCGTGATTTGTTCGACATATTTCATGGTTCTAAGGCCTCAGCAAGGATTAACATTAGATTAGCCATTAATTAATTAATATTTATTATTTAAGAGTTTTTTCATTTCTTAATTTTTGTTTGTTATCATGTCCACTTGTTGCATGCTGTGTTCACTGTTATTAGAATGAACGTTTGTTTGTTACTTTTTTATGTTACCTGAACCATGTAAAAGTTACATTCCATTTGTGAACCAAATAAAAAAAAAGCCTACTTTATTAAAAGTTGACTTGTTAAATCTGGTAAAAGCAAGTAAGCCGTCCAAGCACCGCTATGCAATCGATGAACTAACTCTGGAGCATGGACACGAAGTTATTCGATTACCTCCCTACCATTTCCAGTATAACGCTATCGAGCTTATTTGGGCACAATTAAAGGGTCATGCAGAGCGGAATAATACTGAACCACTGCTTCAGTATTGCTAAAATTCCGACTCTGCTACAAACTGCGTGTGCAGAAGTCGCTACAGAAGACTGGAGAAAGGTCGTGAAGAAAACAAAAGAAATAATTTTACAAGATTATGAATGAGATGTGAATATAGACAATATTACTGGTAGAGAATGCCACAAGGCATTAAGTCCGCCCTTTGTATTCTTTTAGATTAAGGAATACAATAAAGAATAAATAAATAAATAAAATGTTATTGAAAATGAATTAATAATATCATAATTAATATTTAATAGTTTTAATTCAATTAATAATTAATAAGTGCTGACAGCAGTGATGAAAATGAGAATACTAGTTACAGTTCTAATATTTTAACTGAATAAATGCTTTGTTAAATGATATACTTGTCTTATTTTGTTCCTTAAATTTACGATAGAAAATAATAATGGGACAGGGATTCGACTGCAATTTTTTTTAAATAAAATTACAGTACCTATTCAGTTATTATGAAAAAATACTCGTACTTATATTTACTGTAATTTTACACACTCACACTCAGTTTGAAGTCTGTATCAATTCATTCACTTTAGTTGATGTTTTTAAACAGGTCACCTATTATTCCTTTATTATTATGTACGAGCAGCTGTGCATTGTGACCTAAAATATATATTTTGATCGCTGCTATATGTACAGTTAACTGCTAAGCCCTAAGTCCTCAATTGATAGAAGGAGTTGCTTAAGTGTTAGTAATTTCACTTCTTCTGGGCGAAGTACATAGTTTCCTAGATGAGTGCTGCGTTTGCGCATTAAGGGTCCGTAATTCGTCAGGATGTGTAAAGGCGTTTCCTCCTCTAGGGAGCAAAACCGGCACATCCTTGAGTTGCTTAGTCCCAGGATGGACATGAACTTTTTAAGACAACAATGTCCAGTCAGGGCTCTTACCAGAATGCGCAATTTATTTTTACCTAATCCCAGGGCTTCCGAAGCGAGTTTACGGTCGTAAGCCCGGATTAAGGTTTTAGAATGTTTTAAGCCTGGTGTATCAGACCAGATCTTAAGTGATTTATTGTGGTAAAGAGTTTCCAGGGTCAATCGGGCGAGGCTATTTGAGATTCCACAAAATGGCTCGGGTCCAAATAGTGTACTATTTGAAGCCTCCCGTGCGAGCTTGTCGGCAGTTTCATTGCCCAATACCCGCATGACCCGGAATCCATCTTAAAACTGCCTTGTTATTACCTCCCAAGGTGTTTAGGCGGTTCACGTAGTCTCCAACTAAATTTCAAAGAAAATTTCTGCCTGGAAGATAGAGGACAATCTGGGTAGATTCTTTGGGAAGGCTAAAAAAGAAGTAATTTATTGAACACTGTTCAAATGGAATCGTCTAACACGTCAACGTAACTCTTCTTGTCATTTCATATTTTTATACTCAGTATATAGATAATCATAATTCTTATAAGGATGAGATTTGGAAACCCATTATAAATAAACAAATTAAAAGTTACATGCTGGTCGTCATAGTAATTGGTAGGAGTTGAAGCGCCTGATATAACAAAAGGTCATGCCAATATTAGTTCGTAAGTTGTGTCCGTATGTTTAAAAAAATTATACTTCCTTTTTGTCTTGAATTTGGAGATCAAGTAAAAGTTGATTGAGCAAATTACTGCATTTTATTCATAAAAAAAAATTATAATCATATTCATGGTCCTAAATCGAAGTGGGATTTTAAAACCGTAATTGGAAAAGATATTATTTACTGGAATACGCCTAGGAAGTCTTAAATATTTATTGTGGAAATAGAAGTCTAGAGACTTAGTCCCCTGGATATTAGACTATTACTTTCATTTATTTTACCTGCACTCTTTATCAGGAAGTATTGTGTGTAAAAAAATTCTAAATCTAATTTTCGCCCGCCCTTTGTAACCTTTTCATTGTTCAGAACCGTACAAAGTATGTTTAACGTAATGCATTTAATCAGCTAAATACTTTCTATGAATTTATAAATTATAATTTCCTTCTACATAGTTGTATAAAACTGCTTAGTAATTTTATTTTATGAAATACTAGTGATCCTCCCCGGCTTCGCACGGGTGATTTCTGATTCTCAACAACAGTACCACTTACTGGTTCCAATTTTAAATCTAAACTATCTAGGGACCTGGTCAAACACACACAAAACATTTCATCATAATCGGTCGAGTCGTTTTTGAGTTAGCGAGACTAACGGATAGCTATTGATTTTTATATATAGGGATAAAGATTTTGTTTGAATACATTTCAGGAATTTGCACTAGTCTCCCAATCCCAGCCAAGATGTAAGAAGATAAGGAGCAAACTAGGAAACGAGCTAGCTGCGAGGGACAAAACTGCTTTTTCAAATTATTTAAATTCGCTGAATGTATGCCTGCCTACTAATACGTAATTGAAAGTGCAATTACGTATTAGTAGGATTGTGTTAATGTATAAACAATATGACGAGGTTCAATTGTCTATCGATTGTAATACTGATAATATAGACGACCAGATATCAGAAAAAACGGAGTTTTTTTTTTTTGAGTCCCTTTTAAATCTTTGAAAAGGATCTTAGCAGATTGCAGCGAGCCAGATGCCGTAAGCAGTGACAGTGGCTCTCATTCCAGCAACCATAAATTTGCTAAACGGAACATTATTCAACTGCCTAAATTTAAAT